GATAACACCGAAGTGCATGGTGACTAACTACAGAATAAAATCGGATACATAAACCAACATAAACCAGCACATAAAAATTCACAGCCGAGTTAGCCAAAGAGATCAACGCTAAAAAAAGGTGACGTCACATTTGAATTTCTTAAATTTCCCCAAAATAGGATAGAATTGGGATAGAATTCAAGATTTGGTTTATAATACTCATATAACATTTATCAATAACAATGAAAATTACAATACTAATTAATATAACATGTGGTAGTAATAAGATAATTAATAGTATTATCTAGCTATGTCGGTGTTTCTTCTAAATCAAACTGTAAACCAAATATATCGTATAAATTTAGGTGACCCAAACTAAAATTTAATTAACGAACTGGGTGATTAATAATCTTTACCATAACACACGAATACAACAGAAAAAAATAAGATTTACAACTACAAACGATAAGACATTTGACAAAATCCGATGAGAATAACAAATATAACATCAAAACTAATTACATGAATTTTGGATAGAAAGGTACCGTGACACGTCTTATAGCAATGTGAATTCACACTCAGCAAAACAGTCACAATCGGGAATAAGTCACGTTCGGTAATTAAAAGATCGGACGACGTAATGTCAAACCACAATCCAACACGTGGTAAAAATGTCCTTAGTTAGTTTGGACAAAGACACATCGTATGGATCGACCAATTCGTGATGGTGTCCGTAGAATTTACGGAGTGTCATTTTAATCTGTCCTCCTCATAACTTTGTTGGAGCAGTTTCTGCTTTAGGAGCACACTCCTGTATATGAAGTCCGTATAGTGTGAACATGCACGAGCATAACGTATCAACTGAGATATGTAAACACCATACGAAGGGGCAGAGGGTATGTTACTGCTGAGAAATGGGAAATTGATAATTGGGAAGTTGAAATCGTCCCGTTTATCATAGATTTTCGTGTGAAGTCGTCCATCTGTTTCTATATTGAGGAAAAGATCAAGTATGAAGCAGTCCTTCTAGTATCAGTAGTATCCTTAATTTCAAGTTCACTGGGATATATGAGATGTAAGTATTGGCTGAAATATGGGTTATTCAATGATAGGACATCATCAATATATCGGAAAGTAAAATTAAAAAATTTCGCAAGTTGCTTTTTCTTTTTGTCTATTAGAAGGTTCTGAATGAATTCTGCTTCATACGAGTACAAAAACAAATCGGCCAGTAGGGGTGCACAATTAGTACCCATTGGAAAACCGACTGTCTGTTGAAATATAAATCCTCCAAACTCAACAAATATATTGTCGATCAAAAAGTCCAACATTTTGATAATATCATCTTCAGTATATTTTCCGGTAGATTCAGTGTGGTTCTTCACAAAATATGAGTTATTGTAACCCAAAACAAGAAATATGTATCTACGATTCCCATTTTTATAGAAAAAGTTCTGTTTAATGAGATCGTGAAGTCGATCTTTCAACTGAGCATGGGGAATAGTAGTGTAAAGCGTAGAAAAATCAAAAGTCTTATATATGGTGCTGCAAAATTGCAAAGATTGTGATCGAAGATTAAGCAGTAGATCTTTCGAATTTTTTAGAATCCACATCTGGTTCGGATCCAGGGGGGGGGGGGGCGGGGTTGGAACCCCCCTTTTTTGGACGATTAATGCATTTGAATGGGGACATATAGTTGGAACCCCCCCCCCCCCCTTTTTCCCTTTTAAAAATGGCTGGATCCGCCCCTGAATTGTTATATGATAATAAATAATGTATATACCATTATATTATAAGAAATGAAGCGTTATTTTATATAATCAGAATCATATATCAAATTTTCCTTTCTAATTATTATTACACGTATTTTTTGTCTATTAATTGTTTTCATAAGTTGGTCGAGTTGGCAGGACTAAATTCATCGGGATTTTACTCTTTTTGATAAGTGGGGCGAGTTGGCAGGAATAAATAAGTATAATTTAACTCCTTTTCATGAACGGGGCGAGTTTGCAAGCCTTTATTCAGCGGGATGAAACTCTTTTTCATAAGTGGAGAGAGTTGGTAGAAAGTTTGGGCGAGTTGTCTTGCTTCCGCTTTTGCTTTCTTTATCCGCTTAGAATAAGATATAAGTCAATTGATCTCTGATTGTTAGTTGACTCACTGGCACTATAACAAAAAAATAGAAAAACGAATGAACGATAAAAAAAATAAGATATGTAATGCAATCTAGCGCCCGTCTTCTTCTTCTGCTCCTTCGGAAGTCCACCCTATTTGCAGGGTCACCCTGGGAACAGTATATCTAACGTTCCTGGGTCACCGCATTAAAAATATACAAGTTTAGATAATTTTTGAAAATGCGTATACTTTATAAAATATTAAAATTGTAATTAAGTTTAAATATGTAACTTTGTTTTAGTAAAACAAAAATAATAAGGATAAAAGGTAAAAAAACTTGTATTTACACTGTACAGATCATACTGCCATGAGCTTAAAACATTAGATTTTAAAATTCAAAAAATGGATAAAACTTAAAATTGATAAGTTTATAAGTGTCCACTTGTTAAAAGATAAAAATATGTGATAAGATTTATTTTTGTCAGTGATGATAAAAAGTTAACAATCCAGCGAGGAGGTTCCTCATTAGATGTTTCATTAAAATCTAAAAACTCATTAACCCATGTTGTTAATTTCTTTTAACATGTATTATTATTTATGTTAAAAATAGAACACTGAGGGTCATAGTTTAGATATTATTTATCATTCAGCAACAGGTTTAATTTTCTATTGCAATGGAGTATTTAAGGGTGGAATGACAAAGAAAACTATCATTTATGATATGTTCTTATCTATATCCATTCTCATAACCGACACTAGCTAGATTTTTATATGATGTGATGTTCACCAGCAAAGAGTCAAGTACAAATGTTTATTATCTTTCACTGATTTTCTGCACTCTTGCAATTGGTATGCAGAGTATAAATGTTATACAATACAATACAATACAATACAATACAATACAATACAATACAATACAATACAATACAATACAATACAATACAATACAATACAATACAATACAATACAATATTTTATTTTTCCAAATTAAAGAGCCCATTAAGAGCATAACATTAATAACAACATGACATAGACATTACAGAGTGATTAAAAAAACATAAAATAATAGTTCAAATGCATGAGGAAAGGGTCAGTGGTCAAGGGGAGATAATTTTGCTATCTATTATATCTATTAGAGTATTTAACTAATTTTCTGATTTTCTAAGTTGCAGGCCTTTATGTTATATATATTTCACTGATATATATAACATTTATACTCTGCACACCAATTGCAAGAGTGCAGAAATTCAGTGAAAGATAATAAACATTTGTACTTGACTCTTTGCAGAGACATATATACACAGAGATTGGCAACTCCGTGAAATCCCGTTAAAAAACGCGGCCCGGAATGAGATTCTCGTCGATAATTATTCTACAACATGTAGACAAGTCAGGGATGAATAACCTCGATAGCTAATCAAGAAAAGTAATAGGAAAACTTATTTCAGATCAAATAAATTCTTTTTCTAAAAAACTACTTGAAATAGTTGTATTTTTTTTAATGTATTTGATTGAGAAAATATTTTTTTTCTTTTTTTCGGCATTTCTTTTAATTTAAAAAGTACAATCTGGTAATGATCATGATATTACAAGAAACATTTCTTTGCTAAAGTTTGCTTCTAAATTACACAGTGAAATTATGTGTGTCCGATTTTCCGGTCATTATTTCCTTAGAGTTGTGACTGTGGATTCACAGGTGTGCGATTACGCAATTTATTGCCCTCCGATCACCTGAATTTTGCCGGAGGTGAAGTTCTAAGTGGATTATTACTTGGTAATTGTTTTTACAACTAAACAAATTCTGACATTATTTTAACCATGACCAGAACTTTAGTTTAACAGAAACACTGGGCTATACTATGAATAGGGTAAACGGACAGAAAGTCACAGTACAAAAAGTCACAGGACATAAAGTCACAAATAATTTATTGACAATTGTTTGAATATATAAGAGAAAGATCTTCAAATAATATCTTTTTTTTACATTTATTCATTTTTAAGTTCAGGAAATTGTTCATACGCCTTGATAAATGAAAATTTTTTAAATTTTAATCATGCAAATAATATATTTCTTGGCACCATGAAGCCATTTAAGTGCCAAACCACTTTGACATTTCGTTATCATAACAATTATTTGATTATCATTGATATTTATTGAATAAACTTTAATTACAAAGTTGCTTCATATATTATAGTTCAATAAAAAATCAAAAAATTATTTTTAAAATTAGTGTTTATCTTGTTCAGAGAAAAATAATCTCAAAACTGAATTGTGACTTTTTGTCCTGTGACTTTTCGTCCGTGACTTTTTGTCCGTGACTTTTTGTCCTGCGACTTACTGTCCTACATTCTACTATAGTATTCAATCAGGAACAAAAATAGTCATTTAACACGTCAAAAAAAGAAATCAGAAAGCAACTTTTTTATGTAGCCAGTAGAATTTTGTCTCATGGAAGACGGATTTAAATGATTAATTTTGATTGACCTACAATTACATTATTTGTGGAACCTTTGCATGAATTTCCTAAATGAACGTACATTATGTACAGTGTTGTCGAAATCACTATTTTTGCTGTCATGAAATATTGAATATGAATCCGTCATTATTTGTAGTTTCTTGTGTATATATGTCTCTGCTCTTTGCTGGTGAAAATCACATCATATAAAAATCCGTCATTCGTCCATAAAGTTGTTGTGCGCTTTAATTTCAAAGTTTTTTTGGTAATTTAGTTACACTTCGAATAGTTCGGGTGGGATACATTCTGACAAGACTTTACCGCCAAGCTCTTTTTTTGTCATTTGTTGTTGCAAGAATTAACTGTTAAACTGAGCTTAAGTTTGTTTACTATAAAAGAGTCAATATAGTTTTTCAAAATAAAATTTTCAATATATGTTCATGAAATAAGAAATAAATGATTTAATCAGCATTTCAAAAAATTCATTCATCACATATTGTACTGCGCATTGATATTTATGCAATAGTAAACCAGCCCCGATGATCGACAACGGTTAGACGGCTGATAACTTAAATAAGAACAGGTCTTCGTTTATCTTCACCTTCACACACAAAGAATGAGATTGGTATGAAATGGATAGAATAATGTCACTTTATTAGCATTTCCACCTAAAAAAAAAGTTACATGTAAAACATTTGTTTATTTTTCAAAATATCAATTTACAGTTACTTCCCTTTTAAAACAAAAGAAGTGACCTAAATACAATACAAAAACCACTCTAGTTGATAGACAGAGCCTTTTTGTAAAATCTTACATTCAATGGTAGAATTTATTTCTCCTCTAATTGACATATCATGATAAAAATGCATGTCAAGTCCTTTGTAATAACCTGAATGCTCATGCATGCTGATTTTTTATTGGCTACAAGGGGGGTCTCATTGGGGGTTCTGATCCCGGATCCCACTTACTGTTTTGTCAGATTCCCGTATCCCGCTTACGCTATGTAAGTAAGCAATTTTCATTTTTTTGTAATTTCCCGTGTCCCGCTAGACTTCATTTCCCGTTTTCACGGCACAATAATTTGACTTTCACGTGTCACGCTTATAAAAAATCGACAATCCCAGGTCACGCTTAGACCCCAATGAGACCCACTACAAGGTGAATCACCTCATTTGTCGTATGTTTTCCAATTTAGGTAAAAGCAGCCCCAGAATAACATTTTGGCTTCACAACTTATTAGTCCACACTAAAATTTTACACATTTTTTGTGTAACTATTGTTTTGTTTTCCTCAGGGTGAGGGAGTCAAACTAAAACAGTGTTAAAATAGAAATTGTGCAACGAAAAATGTCATGTGATATGACTTTTTCAATCTCCACATTGAAAATTCTTAACTTAAGTTAATGCATGCACCTTTATGTTAGACATATATGATACAATAGACAACTTTCAAGTTCTATGCATTTCCGTCAAAAACTCTTGGTTTTAGTGAACATCATTCGTGCGTTTAGGGGCATCGTCACTTCTGTTCCAATGTTGAGCAAGTGGTTGGAAAACTATAATGCTATATTGCACGAATTATTCGGCAAATTAAATTCTCATAATTGACAATCAGCACTACTGTCATTAGGGAATTGTGATTAAGTACTAACAAAACAAACATTATTTCTAGTTTATCCTGTACAATGACGATCACTAAGACGCTTGATGAACGTAAATAGTGCAGGGATACAGGCGATCTCCTCTATCTGGTAAATGACGTCATAAAGGCGTGCATAATTGACGAGTTTTTTCCAGTGTAGGATGAACTTGAAAGTGGTCTATTGATTTCATGTGGGATGATTCTGCTTGAATATCACTTCATAATCCCTGCTGAAGAACATAAATAAATTTTATTTTAGATAAAAAAAAATATACAAAATAAACAGCAGGCAGCAACCTGGGAACAGTATATCTAACGGGAAATGAATCTGATAGGCTTTTCAGTATAAAATTGATAAAATCACAGACTCCACGAGACTTCGCGAGATTTATGGATTTTGATAGCGTCTGACTGAAAAACTATCAATAGATAGCACATGTATTTTCATTCATTTTCACTGAACTTAGTACACATTTTTGTTTAGGGGTCAGCTAAAGCCCACCTCCGGGTATGGGATTTTCTTGATATGTTGAAGACCCATTGGTTGCCTTTGGCTGTTTTCTGCTCTTTGGTCGGGTTGTTGTCTCTTTGACACATTCCCCATTTCCATTCTCAATTTTATTTTTAACTATATCCTTCAACAATGAGAAAAACCTGTACAGAACATGTTTGGATTGTAAAGGTATAAATATTTGTTTATATAGTATACTTAGGGACTATGAACCTGACAAATTGAGTATTCAGTGTGTTAAAAATTATCTTTCTATTCGAAGAAGCCCAATTAAAGCAGAATAAGACAGTCCAGATCAATTTGACAAAACTACATGTATTGAGTACCGTTAACTGTACTATATTCACTCATTAATATCAGCTGGGACTCATCTCTTCAAAAAGTTGTGAGTTATCCATTAGACTAAAATTTTCATATTTGATCAAAAAACATACTGAAACATATATATCCAAATTACAAAAATTCCATAAGAAACAATGCATTCGCTCATTATAATGGATCAGCATATCATGTGTATTTTATACTAGAAACCTTCTGATTTACCATCAAAATGACTTTCTGAAGAATGCAGATGGTCATATGACTTTTAAATATAAATATAAATATAAGTCAATTTGAAGGTTGCCTAAAGTAAGATTCAAATGAGGTGGCAATATTGACTCATTAGCCTGAGATGTTTATGATGAAATTGAGAATGGAAATGGGGAAATGTGCCAAAGAGATAACAACCCAACCAAAGAGCAGAAAAGCAGAAAACAGCCCAAGGCCACCAATGGATCTTCAACACAGTGAGAAAATCCTGCACCCGATGGTGGGCATCAGCTTGTCCTAAACAAAAATGTGTACTAGTTCAGTGTAAATGGACATCACACTGACTTAGAAACATATAAATGAACTAAAATTAAAAAACATACAAGACTAACAACATGAACAAAGGCCAGAGGCTCCTGACTTAGGACAGGCCCAAAAATGCGGCACGGTTAAATATGTTTGTGAGATCTCAACCCTCCCCCTATACATTTTTTGTACCTCTAGCCAATGCAGAATATTTTAACAAACACACAGCAATACGCACACATTATTCTGACAAATTTAAACCAAACTGACTGCTTAGTTAAATAGCAAAATATTATTTCACTATTCACATTTCATCAACATGATCAATGTTTATATTAAAAAAGTCATATTTTTTTCTTTTTTGTTGAATTGTATTTATATAGCTAATGGCCCCCCCCCCCCCCCCCCCATTAATGGAAAAAAGTTCAATGCTTTCTTCCAGTTGGAAACAATATCTTATATCTGATCTTCATTTGAGCCCCACTAATGAGTCTTATATATATGTAGACGTGTTCCTGTCATACAAAATTACAAGCCTGGTTTCTTTGACTAGTTCTTATACCTAAATAAGCAGCATATGATGAAATGGTTTGAGAAATAAGAAGTATTTGAGCACTAGGCTACATATTACTAGTCAAATTTTTTAATGTAAGCCGGTTTCATTTAAAGATTTTGAGGTTAGGCCATGCTTGTTTTTCGGATGTTGTGATCATGTCTCAGACACTTCTTAAACTGTGATGTTAAATGAAAATTCAAAATTTTGACTGATTATACGCCTTTTCTTTTGTAGGTCTTTGCAGCAGAAAGATAATCATGATAAATTATAGAGTCCCCAGCTAAATTTTCAAAAGAGAAAATTAAAACTCAGAGTGTATATTGAAATATCCGAAAACAGCAGTAAAGAATGCTGAATACTACAGTGAAAAAACAGAGGTTAATATAAGTTTGACCTGTTTGAAAAGATATTTTGTATTATCTGGTCAAAGTGTAAGGAAAATTTGGAACTTACTTAACATGCTTATTGTCAAATGACCGGATTTAAAAAAAAAAAAAGATGATGAAAAAATTTTGTTCCGTCATGTTTAAAATTGGAGTAGTGTTATCTTTTGATTATCATTGATTATACTTAAATGAAAGAAGAAGAGGAAGTAGCATAATAATCGATATCAAGAAAACAAAATGGAAGATATTGTAGTAAAAACAGAAACATTGATTGATGAAAATGAAAAAGTAACGTCAAACATTAACAATGATGTTTTAAATGACAACAGACTGTCACAGTCAAACATATTAAGTAACAACTTGTCTGGACGGGCTGGAAATTTGACAACAAATATGTGTGATATTGTTGTAAAAAAGGAGCCAATATTTGATGGAAATGAAAAGGTTGAAGTAAACACGGATTTTGACTCACAATTTGAAATATTAGGGTCAGTTATCACATTTAAAGATGAAAAAGAAGATACAATTGAAGTTCCTCAGCCCCTTAATAATGAAAATATTAGTCAATCCAATTTATCTTCGGGAAAGAAGACTCCATCTGTGGAAAAAGGGGCAATGGTTGTGCCACCAGTGCAGACCGAACTCATGTATGAGAAAGTTATGTGTCCATCCAATTTTTCTTCAGGACAGAATCTGACATCTGTGGAAAAACGGGAAATGGTTGTGCCACCAGTGCAGTCCAAACTCATTTTTGAGAAAATGAGAAAACTTTTAAGTACAAGGGCCTTGTCTGTGAAAGATGTATCTCTTCCATCAAATATTTCAGAGAATACACTTAACAGTAATGCTATAAACAGCCAACCAATAGATAGTGGGCAAGATTTTGTAAAAAGCCATTCCATAGAGGTTACCGGTACTGTTTCCAATAAATCTCTCAGTACTTCAGACCAGTCAGTGCTTCCTCATACTTCAAAACCTCGGCCACATATAATTAAACGTTTTGTAAGAATAAAACCAATTTCTATTGGGAAATCTGACTCCAGTGTCAACAATGAAGAAAAAGATAAAATTGATCATAATTACAGTTATCAGCATGGTCAGTCTGACATAGTGATTTCTTCAGTAACTGCTGCACCTCATAACTTACAAGCAGTAAATCTCGGGGATTGCAACCGATCTTCAGATGGTTTTACTTGTGAAAAAAATAAAAATGAAAGAACAAAAGAAATTCAAGAAATTAACTATTCACATGATACAGTAAACATGGTAAACAGCCTTCAAACAAAATGTATAGGTAAATGGGGGAAAAAGAAAGAACCTCGTAAGTGTGAAGTGTTGGGAAGAAAAGAGGGTAAGTGTAGTTCACAAAATACATTTTATAAATTAAATTTACTAATTGAAATTGACACGATGAAAGTCGTGAGACATAGCCAGGGATTGCTTTTCTGTCATTTCTGCTTAAGTTAGTTTGATAGGAACTACTTGTGATAGATCATTGGGCCATAAAAAAAGAATATGTTTGTTTACCCTAACTCTACCTACCCAGAAAATAGCTGCCTACTCAAAATCTTTTATTGTCCTGATGTAAAAAAGTTTTTTTTTTTTAATCAGACATGTCAGAGAGGCATGAAGACTAAAAAACATTTGACACTTCAATTTCTCTTTGCCAAAAAAAAAAGAAAATGCCTACCTTCCTACCCCCTGTCTCCACCTTTGGCTAGGGTATGGGCAAATCTAAATATTTACAAGTGTTGCCTTGATATTTAATATAAAGTTGCATTACTATCAGTACTTACATATCAATGTGATGACTATGTTGTGGCTCTGCCCCCTAGGACAAGGTCCAGTGACTTTGAATTAATTAGCAATTTTCAATGTTAAGTTTTCTGCTTATTCTCATCCCAGTTAGTTTGATAGGATCTACTTGTGATAGATCAATGATATTTTGTATAAAATTGCATTTAATACTATCAGTACATATCAATTTGACGACTATTTTGAGGCCCTGGGCTGATATGCATAAAACCACTTAATAAATTATTTAAGATTTGTTACGTTTTTCTGCTAATTAGTTTATATTGATAGGAACTACTTACTATAAACAACTATATTTTCTATATAGTTACATTACTGTCTGTACCTCTCATTTTGTTGACCATTTTCAGGCCCTGCCCACTTGATCATGGTCCAGTGATTGAATTAATAAGCAATGTTGCTGTCTATCAGATTGTCTTTTTCTGAATTTTACATTTTTATGCCGATAGGCAAGACATATCTCTGTGTCAACAGTTTATTTTTTAGTAATCTGGTGTTGGTGGTTGGTGTTGTCTGTCATGTCTGTTAACTATCCAATATTTTTATGCCCCCGCCGTAGCGGAGGGGGCATTATGTTTTACCCTTTGTCTGTACGTCCCAAAATTGGTTTCCGTTCTCTATCTTTAGTTTGCCTCAACCAAATGTTATAAAACTTATCCACAATGCTTATTACCACAAAACACAGATCGAGTTGAATTTTGGTGGCATCACTTTTACTGTTCGAGAGTTATGCCCCTTTACAAACGGAAAAATTGCTAAATTTTTTTCGTTTCCGTTCTCTAACTTTAGTTTGCCTCAACCAAATGTTATGAAACTCATCTACAATGTTTATTACCACAAAACACATATCAAGTTTGAATTTTGGTGGCGTCACTTTTACCGTTCAAGAGTTATGCTCCTTTACAAATGAAAAAAATGCTGATTTTTTTTTTTTTTCCGTTTTTAACTTGAGTTTGCCTCAACCAAATGTTATGAAACTTATCCACAATGTTTATTATCACAAAACTCAGATCGAGTTTGAATTTTGGTGGTGTCACTTTCACTGTTCTAAAGTTATGCCCCTTTACAAATGGAAAAATTGCTGAAATATTAAATTTTGTTCTCTAACTTTAGTTGCCTCAACCAAATGTTATGAAACTTATGCACAATAATAATTACCACAAAACACAGATAAAGATTGAATTTTGGTGGCGTCACTTCTACTGTTCTAGAGTTATGTCCCTTTAAATGGAAAAATTACTGAATTTTTCGTTTCTGTTCTCTAATTTAGGTTTACATGTGTACGTCAACTAAATGTTATGAAACTTATAAACAATGCTTATTACCATAAAACTCAGATCAAGTTCAAATTTGGGTAGTGTCACTTTTACAGTTCTTCAGTTATGGCCCTTTATAACGTTATATGCAAGCGGGGGGCATTATCTGTGTCCCATGGACACATTCCCCATTTATTTGTTATTCCTTTTATATTTTTTAAACCCCAACTTTTCAATATGGGGCTATATTGCAATAACCTAGTGTCTGTCCGTCTGTTTCGTCCATCAAATATTTTCATCTGAATTTACTCAGGAACCACTCAACAGAACAACTTCAGCAGCTTGACAGTTTCAAGTTTTAATGTATGAGAATTTTTTATCTGTTCGACACATGCTTCCTGTATGACAATGTATGAGGATACAATGTAGTTTTAATATATCAATACATTGCGTGAAATTTTTCGTCACATATATATATATATTTATCCAATACTGATGAACAGAATATATATGACTTTATATTTGGTATTAGCTTGACCATGTTGACAATGATAACTTGTATTGTAATTAAGATTTGAGTGCTTTTTGGATCTGTTGAACATCTACTTCCTGTTTGCTGATACATATTGCACATGTACTTTAAATTTTTATCATGATTTATGAAAACAAATATTTTGGGCACACTTTTCTAAAGAACGAAAGAAGTGAGGTACACATGGAACAGACAGACTTCGTATTTGGTGACCAGTTTGGCGGAGATTAGTTGTAACTGCTTCATGGATCTGTCCTGACTGTCCAGTACCGGTTCCCTGTTTGCCAATTTACTTCTGTTGGTGTGGTCTTTTTTTGTCACATTTTTGGGTACATTTTATGCTTCCTTTTGGTTTTTTGTTATGTTTCATAATGATTATGTCATTTTCGTTATTCAGTTTACAGATGGTTAACTTTATGTAATGAAACTGCAGGTGTGGATATTTGTATTGTATCATAACATACAGTTTCTTTTTTTCCAGTGCTTTCAAGGAGTGAAAAATTGAGGTATACTTTTCGTCCAATTACCATAATGCTACCAAGTAATGCCAAAAAGACTGGATATGACTGTAAAGAATGTAACAAGACAATAGTCTTTTACAATTATCAAAGGTCGGTGGGATTGTGATACAATAAGTCAGACATGTCAGAGCTCAAACAAAAAAAACAGGATTATTATCTGACTTACAAATCTAAAAATATATATGATGATAAAAATTTGATTGCAATGTTGTTTTAGACTTGTCTGAGTCAGAAAATGACAGACTTGTTTAGGTCAATTTTTGTATCATAAAACTGGGTGAAAACACTTTATTTGACCATGCTGACCTTCTGGCCAGAATGCCTCTCCTATGACAATACAAAAAATATGAGAATGAAACTGATCTCAATTAGAAATGATTTGACTGATCTTTTTTCCTCTCATCTAGGTTTATCCAATTTTTTAGTGATTGTTGCATTGGAATGTTAATAAAGATTGTTCTTGTTTTATTATCTCTTCCTTAATATGAAAGAATTGCCACTGGACATTAAGCAACTAACAATCAATCAATTTTTAATCATGTTAATTAACCTCTCACCTATATATTTCTTCTGAAGACTGAGTGTTGCCTAATAATCCACAATTTCATGTAGCTTATGTATTGTAGGTTGTTATCATAGAGAGCTCATGTACATTTACATGTATTATAGGTGTTTTCATAGACTTCTTATGTATTGTAGGTTGTTATCATAGACAGCTCATGTACATTTACATGTATTATAGGTGTTTTCATAGACTTCTTATGTATTGTAGGTTGTTATCATAGACAGCTCATGTACATTTACATGTATTATAGGTGTTTTCATAGACTTCTTATGTATTCAGTGTTCCAGCTAGGATTTCAAAAGGGCAGGGAGCCAATCATGAAAAGGGCACTTTAGCATGATGATTGATACTTCAAAAAGGGCATGTCAAACATTGTCTTATGTTAACTGCAGGGGTTTCAGTAGGAGTTTTGAGGGGGTTTAGTCACTTTTTCGCTAGATGAAAATCAACCTTATTTTGGGTAACAGTATTAAAGGGACCATGCAAGGACGTATACTATATTACTAGCTCAGTCTTCCCTAGAACATTTTTGATGCATGGTAGCTCTAAGGTTAAGTTGCAATGCAGAGTGCAGCGGCGTTTTGTAGAATCATTTTTATTTCATTAGTGAAATGAATTGTGCTTGTCAGTTAAAATACTACACTAGATCTGCAATACAGTCAGGAACAATACCTTACATTTTCTCCAGGGGCCAACCTAGATCACAAAACTTTTTTCCAGTAGAAATTTTAAGGCCCTACCAGGGTATTTTTACTACAGGTACATACTTATTAATAGTCTTGAATGTTCTTATAAAGGCAATAATATATGTTTGAAATGCCTAGTACATGTAGCCCAGTGTTTCTGATTATGATAGAAATAATAAATGAATTATAATAAACCACATTGAGTTTTTCAGAATTAAAATCCATTTAACCATGTCTTTTCAGATTGTTAAATATATATTTGTAATATTATATATAAAAAATCCCCCCCCCCCCTTTCCATTTTACACACCCCTAGATGTAGAGATAATTAAAGTTATCAGTTTCACCCCAAGACAATATTCATTTTAAATGAAATAATCTTAGCAGTCAGTGGCGGATCCAGAACTTTTCATAAGGGGAGGCCCGCTGACTGACCTAAGGGGGGGGCCGCTCCAGTCATGCTTCAGTGATTCCCTATATAATCAACCAAATTTTTCCCACAAAAGGGGGGGCCAGGGCCCGCCCCTGGATCCGCCTATGGCAGTTAATCAAAATGAAAATTTTACTGTCTATAAATAACAATGAAATGTAACTGTTTCTTGCTAAAGGGGTTTTCTGAATTTTCCCGCCAAAAAAGCACATGGCTTTCATCTTGAATGTAAACAAAGCAGTCAATTTGTGATCATGGATTACAGCTTTAATTAATTTAATTTGGATATAGATATTCAATGAAAGGTACAGTCAAGCATTGTTTTTACTTTCTTCTGGATTAAAACTAGTTTAAAAGATCAATTTAAAAAAAAAATCTTTGACATATAAACAACAGACGATCTACGGATACATCAAACGCAAATTGTCATCTTTTGAGAAATATTGAAATTGAAATGCTGACTGACCGAATTTAATGAGAAAAATTATTACAATGGTCAATTATGAAGTTTATTTAACCGATTAATGACCCATCCGATGTTGATAAGCAGATTATCTGTAATCACAACTTATTACACCTGCTGTAAATGTTAATTAGCTGAGGCTCATAAACTTGTCATAAATATGAAGACAGGTAGAATAATTGTATTTTCATCAAAATATTACGGCAATAAAGGCATGTACTTACGAAAAAGGGCAGGGCGTCTTAAAAAGGGCACAGGGCTTCAGAAAAAGGGCACAGGGCAGCATTCGGGAAAGGGCGGGCAGACCGCCCTGTAAAAACGATCTAGCTGGAACACTGGTATTGTAGGTTGTTATCATAGACAGCTTATGTGTTGTAGGTTGTAATCATAGACAGCTCATGTGTTGTAGGTTGTTATCATAGACAGCTCATGTATTGTAGGTTGTAATCATAGACAGCTCATGTATTGTAGGTTGTTATCATAGACTTCTCTTGTATTGTAGGTTGTTATCATAGACAGCTCATGTGTTGTAGGTTGTAATCATAGACAGCTCATGTGTTGTAGGTTGTTATCATAGACAGCTCATGTATTGTAGGTTGTAATCAAAGACAGCTCATGTATTGTAGGTTGTTATCATAGACAGCTCATGTGTTGTTGGTTGTAATCATAGACAGTTCATGTATTGTAGGTTGTTATCATAGACTTCTCTTGTATTGTAGGTTATTATCATAGACTTCTCTTGTATTGTAGGTTGTTATCATAGACAGCTCATGTGTTGTAGGTTGTAATCATAGACAGCTCATGTGTTGTAGGTTGTAATCATAGACAGCTCATGTATTGTAGGTTGTTATCATAGACAGTTCATGTGTTGTAGGTTGTAATCATAGGCTTCTCATGTATTGCAGGTTGTAATCATTGACTTCTCATGTATGGTAGGTTGTAATCATAGACAGCTCATGTATTGTAGGTTGTAATCATAGACTTCTCTTGTATTGTAGGTTGTTATCATAGAAAGCTCATGTATTGTAGGTTATAATCATAGACAGCTCATGTGTTGTAGGTTGTAATCATAGACAGCTCATGTATTGTAGGTTGTAATCATAGACTTCTCTTGTATTGTAGGTTGTTATCATAGAAAGCTCATGTATTGTAGTTTATAATCATAGACAGCTCATGTACATGTTTGGTAGGTTGTTATCATAGACAGCTCATGTGTTGTAGGTTGTAATCATAGACAGCTCATGTATTGTAGGTTGTTATCATAGACAGCTCATGTGTTGTTGGTTGTAATCATAGACAGTTCATGTATTGTAGGTTGGTATCATAGACTTCTCATGTATTGTAGGTTGTTATCATATATTTCTCATGTATTGTATGTTGTAATCATAGACAGCCTGTGTATTGTAGGTTGTAATCATAGACTTCTCATGTATAGTAAATTGTTATCATAGACAGCTCATGTATTGTAGGTTGTAATCATAGACAGCTCATGTATTGTAGGTTGTAATCATAGACAGCTCATGTATTGTAGGTTGTAAACATAGACAACTCATGTATTGTAGGTTGTAATCATAGACAGCTCATGTATTGTAGGTTGTAATCATAAACAGCTCATATATTGTAGGTTGTAATCATAGACAGTTCATGTTTGAGGTTGTAATCATCGACTCCTCATGTATAGTAAATTGTTATCATAGACAGTTCATGTATTGTAGGTTGTAATCATAGGCAGCTTGTGTATTGTAGGTTGTTATCATAGACAGTTCATGTTTGAGGTTGTAATCATAGACTTCTCATGTATTTTAGATTGTAATCATAGACTTCTCATGCAAAGAAGATTGTAATCATATGCAGCTTGTGTATTGTAGGTTGTAATCATAGTCAGCTCATGCATTGTAGAGGGTTATCATAGACTTCTGATGTATTGTAGGTTGCCAATGTATCAGTGTAAAGAATGTCCTTTTAGCAGCATATGTAAGAATACATTCATGTCACATTACAATTACTCTATATTCCATCATAAACCATTGAATGTTGAAAAGAAACCTGGATTTCCAAGCATTAAAGAAAAAAAACTAGAGTTCACATTGGGATGCAGATGTAGATTGTTTCTAACTAACAGTCCAATAGAAATGGGTAAGTTGTATGATACTCTATCAATAGATGTTAATGTCCAGCAAAAAAAAGGGCCCTTTATAGCTTGCTGTTCAGTGTGAGCCAAGGCTCCATGTTGACTTGGATGGAGAGTTGTCTCATTGGCACTCATACCACATCTTATTTATATTCACATCGACTTTTTATAGCTTTTTATGCGTCATTGTTGAGGGTCTTACTTTGAATTATACATGTAGTTGCTTACATCTGCATTGTTTCTAGTTAACAGGAATCTCATTGGCAGGAATACCATGTTAGACCTTTTGTTAAGAGGCTGTATGCATTACATTCCTCTTCTACTTATTCATCACTATTGCCTGAATTAAAATGAGTTAGGGAAAAAAGTATAACAAAAATACCAAACTCTAAGGTAAATTCAAAAAGGGGAAATCAATAATAACTGACAAGTGTTAGACTATATCAACCAAGAGAATAAATGGAACTGTTAATATTCCTGACTTGGTACAGACATTTTGATTTTCTGAAGAAAATGGTGGGTTAAACATGGATTTATAGCAAGTTAAACCTCCCAATAGTATGACTTGAATTTTCGCTAATAAGAATAAAGAAAAATAATCAAAAATTTAGTTTTAAGCTCAGTAAATTCTTTCAATTAGGAACATACTTAATACCAAGACAAAATGATCTTTTTGTTAATAAATCATTATTCTGTTTCTTCTGTGGCCGTCAAATTGGAGATATAAATCTGTTCATATGTCATCCTCTTATTTCTGTTTAAACATTGCACCTATTTTTATGCTATTCATTTTAGATACAGTTGGGGGGGGGGGTAAAAACTCTGGATTTTTAATCTCTCTTCCGTCCCTCCAGTATACAATTCAAATCTTCAGAAAAAGTATCAATATCTTGTTGATCAAACATATATATATATATATATATATAAGTATGTAAAGATATTCTATAGTGAGAGATGCACACAGTTAATTTTGGAAGTATACATTCGGCTGTTGTTTGCTCTTTGGTTGGGTTGTTGTCTCTCTGACATATTCCCCATTTCCATTCTCAATTTTATTGGATAGATTTTAAATTATTTTTTTATTTTTCAGCTGATCATTTGGCTAGTTGTGAGGTTGGAAATAAGACATGTTTAATTATAAGAGGTAGGTTAAGTTTATTTTTTGTTTACAGGTATTTATGATAAAGGTGAATTTATTGGAATTTTTGAATGACAGCTAGGTTACACAGAGCATTTATTCAGCTTATACAATAACAAGGAAGGATTTTCTCACCAAACTTCAAAATTGCATAATATTTTCTTCTGAGAAGCTGAAGATTTTGTACATACATGTATTTTGTCATATAATTTTGAGTACCTGGATTTTCGAATAGCTTTTGGATAGACTCTTGTCACAGCTACATATCTGCATATGGTAAAGATCGTGTCCTCTCTATATCTTGAGAACCGTTATGATTTCAAAGTTTATACTTGACATGTATATTAACCAACACCAGAGGGTGTGTCATCATGTATGTACAACTTCCTAGGTCAAAGGTCAAGGTAAAAAACTTTGGTTTCAGTTAACAACCCCATGTCCTATGGTAAAGATTGTGTCCGCCTCATATTTTGAGAACCGTTATGATTTCAAAGTTTATGCTTGACATGTATATTAACCAGTCATAATGTATGTACAATTTCCTAGGTCTAAGATCAAGGTAAAAAACTTTGGTTTCAGTTAACAACCCCATGTCCTATGGTAAAGATTGTGTCCGCCTCATATTTTGAGAACCGTTATGATTTCAAAGTTTATGCTTGACATGTATATTAACCAGTCATAATGTATGTACAATTTCCTAGGTCTAAGATCAAGGTAAAAAACTTTGGTTTCAGTTAACAACCCCATGTCCTATGGTAAAGATACAAATTTTTTAGCACACATTATTTACAGCAGGGCCCACAGACATTTCTTCACTAACTTTAGTTTACCTCCTCAACCAATGCTATGAAACCCCCTCACAATGTTTATTGTCACCAAACACAGTTCCAGTTCGAATATGGGTGGCATCATTTGCACCCGTCTCAAGTTACATGTAAGTCCTTTTATGAATGAAAAAATTGGTAAATTTGCTGTTTCCGCAATCTAAATTTACTTTAACTTGCCTCTAGCAAATGATATGAAACTTATACACAATACTAACTACCACCAAACACAGATCAAGTTCGAATTTGGGTTGCATTACTTTCACCGTTCTAGTGTTATGTCCCTTTATAAATGGAACATTTTTCTGAATTTGCCGTATATATTTACAAGCAGGGACATCTGTGTCCATTCTTTTATTTATCTATGTTTCAGCCTAGTCTTTATCCATTCATCCTTCTGTCTGTCAGTTAGTTCTCCCAATATGAGATTAAAGTTTTAAAGACCTTAAGTGCCATTTTTGATTAACACATGATTTCACTCTGAGTTTAACAATTTTGCTCTCAACAGGATTTTCAGACTGCTTTTGAATATTTTTCTATTTGTTCATCATCTTATCATATTAAGGTGGTACCAAACACCTTGACTAAAATTAATTTGGCTGGTTTAATTTTCATGAAATTTTGACAAAATATTACTTTGACCCTTTGACAAAAATATTAAAATTTCAAAAAACTTGAACCACACACTTTATTGGAAAAATTTTATTAGATATATAGCAGTTTGACAAACAGTAATTTTGATCATTGAGAAGCTTAATATTTCCTTAACAATAGAACGTGATTAAAACGTTCAGCTGATTTTTACATAGTTATCTCCCTGTAATGTTATGTACCACCTTAAAACAGTTTTGCTTTGACCTGTCCAAGAAATTATTTACTTAATTTAAGGTTTCAAATAGACAAGATACATTTGATTTTGTTTACAACTTGACTTGAATTGTGCTGTTATAGATTACAGTTGATTTCATGTATGTGCATCAGAATGGTGACTCGCTTGATAGTGACTAAAATTTATAAATTTCCTGAACTAAAAATAATTAATTCAGTGTTAGGTTCCATAAGGACAAGCTATTTGTCTTGTTTTAATTTTATTTATATAGTTTCAGTTGAAAATAAATACACCTTTGCATACCTTTGCTCACCTGTTCACACCTTTGCACACATTGACATGAAAAAAATAAACATTTCTTTTTCAGATATGAATTCTGTGGCTAGTTTTTTTAATTTTTCTTTGAGTGAATTTACAAAAGAACTCAATTCAATGACACCAAAAGAGTTAACAGTACAAAGAAATATAACAACTGATTTTCAAGATGTACAGACACAAGAAAGGTATTTAGGGAACTATTTTCTCAAATATTTAGAGAATGTACTTACTTACTAAATCCTCTTCTTGCATACTTCTCATGAGGCCATCACTAAAATCCTCCACTGTTGCATATCTTTTGCCTCTCTTTCTGCTTCTCTCAAGGTCATTCCTATGCTACTCAGTTTGCTTTCTATTGTGTGTTACCATGTTTGGGTGTCGTAATGGGTGTACCTTAATGACCAATAACAATAAAAAATCCCGTCAAATGACGTTAAAGGCAATTTTTGGTGCATGACAATAAAATGTTGTTTATGACAATACAAAATTAAACTAATTTTGACGATTCACGTTAAATTTTTTCCAAAAATAACGATAATCGATAATTATTTGAGACCTCTGACAAATCACAATAAGAATATTTTGACGCCTAACTGTAAAGGGCATTTCTACCCTTCATAGTTTCTTTTGGTCTTCCAAGAGTATATTAGAACCACTTAAATAATTGTAAGAAAAGTGTTGATTTTACTTAAGAACATCAAGGGAATTCTTTTATTTAGTTCTTCCATGTGCTTCAGATAAAGTAAAAAATTTAGTATTTTCACAAAAATTCTTTAAATTGCCTCTTTATGAATTCACGATAAAGCGTTCTTGCTCTTGATCTAGCTGTTCTTAGTTTGTATTTCTCAACTTCAAAAGTTTTTTTGAAAAGATCAAAGTTTAGTGTAGGTAAAAAACATTTTTATCAATAATCTGGCCATTGTTGCTACTCCTTCTACTTTTCAGAGATGGTTAAAGTGAGTCCAGGGAAAACTTACATTTCATCACATTAATTCATTACTTCAGTCTTTGAATAATAAAGATGGTTATTGATTGTCATTTGCTTAAGGATGTTCGCTCCTCTTATTTTTTAATTTTTGCCAGATATTCAGAATACTCTTGGTTTTATCCATGTAGTGCCATTAAAAGATATACTTGCTAACCCCTACTTTTCTTTTCATAGTTTTATGACATATAGTTTAAAAAGCCATATTTGAAAATGCTATAAAATGCTTGTTATTTTTTCATAATTTTTTAAAGAAAAAGGGTGCCAATGTAAAATGTATGAAAAGTCTAGAGAGAATTATTTCCGGCCAAATTTTCAATGGCTTATATCTAGAAAACAAGCACACAGACCCTTCATTTTTTTCTGCTTTTTATATGACCGTAAAAAAATTTTGCGATCGTATATTGGTATGACGTTGGCGTCGTCGTCATCGTCGTCGTCGTCCGAAGACACATTGGTTTTCGCACTCTAACTTTAGTTTAAGTGAATGGATCTCTATGAAATTTTACCATAAGGTTCAATACCACAAAAGGAAGGTTGGGATTGATTTTGGGGGTTATGGTACCAACAGTTAAGGAATTAGGGGCCAAAAATAAGCATTTTTGTAACTTCCAGACATAACTTGTGTGTTAGTGTATGGATCTCTCTGACATTGTACCTCAAGGTTCCATATCACAAAGGGAATGCTGGGATTGATTTTGGGGGTAATTGCCTCAAAATTTTAGGAATTAGGGGCAAAAAAAGGGGCAAAAAACAAGCATTTTTTTATATGGACAAATACTTTAGTACAAAACATAATTTAAAGCAGTGTAAGGGAGATAAATCAAATACATCATGTGAATTATCTCCCTTACACTGCTTTTAAATTATGTATAAAGTAATGGTTAATGAACAATTAAGACAATTTAAAACAGTGTAAGGGAGGTAATCCACATACAACGTTTTGATTACTTCCCTTACACTGCTTTTAAATTATGTTTAAAGAAATGCATATTTATAAAGGAAGACCAGTAAAAATATCTGCAAATGTTGCATCTTTTTTTTTTTTTACAAAAAAATCCATATGAAAGATTTGACACCATATTTTAAATTCTATTATAAAATAGATTAAGTTAGCACTATGGTAAATTTAAATGGGTAATTATGGTTGCAAATTCCATTGGAAATTTGAATTGATATTATTACCATATTTTGAGGGAAAGAATTTTTTGGGGGAAAAGGGGCGGGGGGGGGGGGGGGGGTGTGGTTTGGGTAAAAAGAAATTGTGGGGGGTCAATTTTTTCTCATTTCAGATTTCAGAAATTAAAAAGAATTATTCTTCAAATATTATTTTTTTTTCAAATTTCAAATATTGAAAAATTTCAAGAAGTAATCTTTAATTGCACAGTCTGGCGCATTAGATTTGTAAAATCTTTGACCACATTTATCTATTTGTTATGCCAAATCTGACCGTGTATTTAGATTTTTAATTTTGGGTCCAGTTTTCAAATTGGTCTACATTAAGGTCCAAAGGGTCCAAACTTTGTTTGATTTAAACAAAAATTGAATATATGGGATTTTTTGGTATGCTGAATCTAAACATGTATTTAGATTTTTGATTTCGGGCCCAGTTTTCAAGTTGGTCCAAATTGGGGTCCAAAATTAAACTTTTTTTGATTTCAACAAAAATTGAATATATGGGGTTCTTTGATATGCTGAATCTAACCATGTATTTAGATGTTTTATTTGTTGGCCCTGCTATCAAATTGGTTCATATTGAGGTCAAAAGGGTCCAAAATTAAACTTTGTTTTATTTCATCAAAAATTGAATTATTGGGATTCTTTGATATGCCAAATCTAACCGTGTATTTAGATTTTTAATTTTGGGTCCCGTTTTTTAAATTGGTCTACATTAAGGTCCAAAGGGTCCAAAATGAAACTTAGTTTGATTTTAACAAAAATTGAATTCTTGGGGTTCTTTGATATGCTGAATCTAAACATGTGTTTAGATTTTTGATTATGGGCCCAGTTTTCAAGTTGGTCCAAATCAGGGTCCAAAATTAAACTTTGTTTGATTTCAACAAAAATTGAATATATGGGGTTCTTTGGTATGCTGAATCTAACCATGTATTTTGATTTTTGGGCCCCGTTATCAAATTGGTCCACATTGAGGTCAAAAGGGTCCAAAATTAAACTTTGTTTGATTTCATCAAAAATTGAATTCTTTGGATTCTTTGATATGCTGAATCTAACCATGTATTTAGATTTTGGATATTGGACCATAATAGGTAAATTAAAAAATTTTAAGTTCTTAGACCACATTCATTCTGTGTCAGAAACCTATGCTGTGTCAAATATTTAATTACAATCCAAATTCAGAGCTGTATCAAACTTGAATGTTGTGTCCACACTTGCCCCAACTGTTCAGGGTTCGACCTCTGCGGTCGTATCAAGCTGCGCCCAGCGGAGCATTTTATTAGTTCCTATATTTATATACTATCAATTTATAACAGTCTTTTAAAAAGCTTGTTATTTTGAAACAAAGTTGCAAGTCCAACAGTGAAAAGAAGGAATTTTATTGCTCTTAAATTTATTATTTCAGCCTCTATGGCAAAATTGAGCAAGGAATAACATCAAATTATAATTTTTTTTTTAACTTTTGCCTTAAAATGATGATATATGTGCTCAGTTGTTACAATATTTTAAGATCTTGATTCATCTTTGGACTCACCAGTTTTGAAAATAATGAGTCCAGGACTCATGGACTTGCTGTAGTATTAACCCTGATTTAGCCTCAACGTTATCTATAATGTGAACTATCGAACATTAGAATTAATATGCAAGTGTATCTGGAGTGCTTCCTAATCCTAATACTTAAGAATTGTTGTCTGCTTTATTTCTTGTGGCAATTGTGCTTCAACTTCTTATTGAAATGATGGTGGTTAAATACATCTGACTATGAGTTCTGAAAATAATGAGACAAGGGCTCATGTGCTCTCCATCAGCAGTAATGTGTGATGAAGATGTAATGAAAGAAAATAAAAGATATAACAGATTACCAACATACTCAAAGAATTTGCTCTTCTCTAAAGTGGTAGTTTTCTAGTTAAGTTTGTCATAAAACATTACTTATTGCAAAATGTATTGGACTGCCATGCCTTTCCTGAGTCTGTCTGTCCGTCTGTCAATCACACTTTCATTTCCAGATGATAAATAGATAACTGCTTTGTAAAATTAATTGAAATTTAGCGAAATGTTTTGTACCACTAAGCAAAATCATGCGATCACTATCACCTCTCTGGTTTATTTATATCTTATGCTTTGCAGGTTTGATCCACATTGCAAAGACCAATACAGTCTGAATGTTGCAAAAAGACTAGAAAGACAAATTTCTTCTAAATTCTCTGGTGTACCTATATCAGTTTCAATTTCTCCTGCTGCCATAGGTGGTAAAACAAGGAATTTTATGAATAATCATAATACCTCCAAAAGAATTCAGAATTCTGAATTGCCATCCATCTGGTCTGTACAGGATGATTCAGAATTCCAATATGTAGAAAAAGTTTCACAGGTGTCTGAAACAGATTCATTTATGAACCACTTTCCTAAAGTTCGGAGTGTAGCAACAGACACAAAGACGAACACTTCATTGGGATTCTCAACGGTTACACCTCAAATTGCTCAGAAAGCTGCACAAAAGACATTTCAAACCATAGCACCAAAATTTACGCTGATATCTAGTGGAGTAGGTCAGACTTCAATTTCTCCAACTTATCTGAAAACAGCAGGAAACATAGCACTTCCTTTGATAAATAAAAATCAGAACAAGACAGCAAATGTGACACTTTCTTCGTCTAATACAGCTCCAAGAGCTGTAGTATTACTACTCCCAGGTAAAGCTGGTCAAAAAGATGTCTTGTTTTTTCCCACTGTGACAACACCTACCACAACTAATGATGTATCACCAGTACTGACAGCTCCACCTAAGTCAGGTCAGAACACAACGACTTCTACAATTCAGAATACAGCTTCTGGAAGTAGTTTAACTTTCACATACGACGTAAAAGCACAAAAAATAATACAGTGGGAACCAGATAAATCTGAACAGACAGTTTTAATGTTAAAGAAATCAAATTTTACTCCACATCCATCTCTCAGGACTTCATCTGCAGTTACAAAATTATCTTCAATAGTTTCTACAATGGGACCATCTACCAAACTTGTGAATTTAGCTCCAATTGTATCTAAAAAGTATCCACCAAGACTTCAAAATTCAGGTCCATCTGTTTATACAGTGTATCCTCCAACTAGACCCCACGATTCAGCATCAGTTATATCAACGGCCTGTTTATCTGCTGAAACTCAGAGTTCAACTCAATATGATGGTCAAAATTCAATTCAAACTGATATTCCTTATTCAGCTCAAACTGATACCTGGAATTTAACTCCTAGAGTATCAACATCTTCAAGAGTATCTGTAATGATCCCTTTAAGTGAAGCTCAGAACTTGATAAATACAATATCTTGGGACACAGTACCAATTTTAACACCAGTATCAGAAGAATTAGTTCAGGATACTGCATCAACAAGTTCTGAGAGCTTAGCATCAAGATGGTCTGAGATCATAGCATCAAGAAGGTCTGAAAACACTGCAGTGACAAGGTCTGAGAGTATAGCATCAACAAGGTCTGAGAGCACAGCAATAACAAGGTCTGAGAACACTGCATCAGCCAGGTTTGAGAGCACAGCATCAACAAGGACTGAGAGCACAGTAATAACATGGTCTGAGAGCACAGCATCAACAAGGACAGAGAGCACAGCATCAACAAGGTCTGAGAGTATAACATCAACAAGGTCTGAGAGCACAGAATCAGCATGCTCTGAGAGTATAGCATCAACAAGGTCTGAGAGCATTGCATCAACAAGGTCTGAGAGCACAGCGTCAATATGTAAACCATTTCCATTGGCATTATTTCCTAATGTAGCTGCATTACAGAACAAAGGAAATGGACTTCAGCCAGTTGAATCTACACACAATAATGTATCGCAATTGGGTGTCAGTCAAGTATCCTCTTCAATGAACCAGATGTCAACACTAAAACGTATCCTCCAATCTTTACATTATAGAGTCCCACCTTCAAACTCTGCATCAAATTTTGCTCAAAATCCTGTCACTGTTGCTAAGAATTCACCTTTTAGCATCGCTACGGTTCCTTCTAACACAGGTGAGAGTGTTAGTCAAGGACAAAAAGAAAGAACATCAAAAGCTAAACAGCAAATCACTGGAAAAAATGCTGCTGAAGTAAACCGATTAGATGCCTTTGCTGCAGGTGATGATGGTAATAATAAAAAACTAAAGCGGAAGTTCACTATGCAAGGTTTTAAGTTGAATGAAATACTCTGTACACGTAATAAAAGGAGAAAAGAAGCATTGGAAAAATGTTTAAAAATATCTAGAGAAGTATTAAATGACAATTCCTTTTCTGGTTCTATTCATTGCACTAGTAATCAATTAGAGGCTGATAATACATCTGTGTGTGCACAAGATAAGATGCAAACAGTGCTTTCTGCAAAAGACCAGATGCAAACAGTGGTTCTGGCAAAAGACCAGATGCAGACAGTGGTTGCTGCAGCAGACAGGACACTAACAGTAGTTTCCTCAAACAACCAGATACAAACATTGACTCCTGCAAAAGACCAGATGCGAACGGAGGTTTCTGCAATAGACCAGATGCAAGCAGTGCTTGCTGCTCATCTTATTTCCAAGGGAGATTATTGTGCAAAAACTTTAACAAATATGAAAGAAAAAGAACTGTCCCGGTCTCATAATACTGAGGTTAAAGTTGAGCCACTGGATAAAGAATATTTCCAGACTGAAATTTGTCAGCCAGAAGTTGTAATTGAGAATGTTGAGGGCACAGATTATTGCCAGTTATATAATGATAATAAAGGGAAATCCATACCACATACGAAATCTTGTTCATCTAGTGAGGAACATCTGTTAGTAGAAAGGAGGATTAAAGAAGAATATGTTCCAATGGAGAACAGCTCAGTGGTTTTTGAAAATATTCCAAGGGAAAGTATAGAAAGTGAACCCTTAAACATTAATTCAGGATTATTTTATTCATCTGAAACAGAATCTTGCCCATCAGATAATGGTTTTTACCCATCAGATGATGACATTTGCCAATCAGTTAAGGCTATTTGCCCATCAGTTAAGGATATTTGCCCATCAGTTAAGGACATTTGCCCATCAGTTAAGGATATTTGCCCATCAGTTAAGGATATTTGCCCATCAGTCACTATAACTACTGCTGACAGTTCTTTGTCTGTGAGAAATTTTCCATTTGGTAGGGACTGCAAAGAAGTAGGAAAAAGTAGGACGGAGGTTGTGAAAGTATCTGCAGAACGAAGGATGAGTTGGATAAAGAACCAATCATTACAGAGGAAAGATTTTGAAGGAGTGTACAAGATGCAGGTTCCATGTAGTGGAGAAACAAATGCTCAATTGTCTGACAACAGACAACAGCAATCAACCCAGGATATGTATGGTAAGAAAAAGAAATATCGTCCTATATATTCAGAAATTTTAGTATGTATTAATTATTGCAATTTTTGTAAAATGGACTAAAAGATTGAGGTATTGCGTTTTCAGGAAATGTTGCCTTCAGATATTTTTTTTTATTTTTAAACATATCCAGGCTGAAAATTTTGAAAAAAAATTTTTTTTTTATTAATTTCAAAATCTTCTGTGGTTTGTGAAGAATAACTTTTTATTTGTATCCCCCCTCAAGAAGTTAGGAGTATAAAGGAAACAATCTGTTTTTGCAGGTTTTATCTTGCACAGCAATGTCTATGAATGCCTTGGAGGGTTTAAATGATACATGTACTGGGTTTTATTGTTACCCATTAACAGATGATATTCATATATGTACTGTAAACCAACTTATTTTTGTGAATACTTAATTTTGTGTTTAGCCCTTTTTGTCAAAGTAATTTTATGTTTAGCCCTTTTTGGCAAAGTAATTTTATGTTTAGCCCTTTTTGGCAAAGTAATTTTATGTTTAGCCCTTTTTGGACAACTTTGCTGAGTGTTATTTTTCAGGATTTCTTATTCATGTTATGTCTTGCTGTACTTGTATGAGAAAAGATCCGTTTTACATATTTGTGTCAATTTGCATTGGCACTATTTTTCTACTCGCCAAAAATAAATCGCACACGAAATTAAGTTATATGGTGCTGTTATATGATGTCTGTCTGCAAGATCAAGACCACAAACATAGTTTCAAATAAGCAAAGTCTGACCAAGAGCTTTTGAATGCTCTGAGGGATATTTATTAGGAATTTTTGTTTGCAAGATCAAGATCAATACTCTCTGTACTAAGATGGGTACAAAGGTCAAAATTGTGTTAGCTTTGCTCCCAATATCTCATTAATTAATTATTTAATAACAAGGAGGTGAATAATAGTAATTTAAGTGTGCAGGCACATCTGTCTATCCATCTATACGAATGGGTTTTTCTCATTGTTGAAGATCGTGCGGTAACTTATAGTTGATTATTTCTGTGTCATTTGGTCTCTTGTGGACCCCGAGAGTTGTCTCATTGGCAATCATAATTTTCACTGAACTAGTACATATTTTTGTTTAGGGGCCAGCTAAAGCCCGCCTCCAGGTGTGGGATTTTCTTGCCTTGTTGAAGACCCATTGGTGAACTTGGGCCGTTTTCTGCTCTTTGGTCGGGTTGTTGTTTGTTTGACATATTCCCCATTTCCATTCTCAATATTATACCACATCTTCTTATTTTCATATGTACAGATTTTGCATAAAAATTCATGATATTTGATAACATGATGAGAAGTCATTTTGATAACTTTTTACAGTAACCTTTATGTTCATGGGAAGTGCTCAAATTTCCCAGCCTTAACCATTATGTACACTAAAAAGTAAAAGGTAAAATTAAAAAAGGTTTGGTCCTCAATTTATCACATTTTCCTGTCTGGTTATAACTTGCGCTCTATTTGTAATGTACAGATATCAGTTGGGGATTACAACTGAATTATCAAAATTGATTCAAATAAGGTTACAAGTTGTTTTTATGTCTATTTTATGTGTGAAATGTAAAAGATGAATTTACTAGCCAAATTTAAATGTGCCAAAAAATTCAGTGAGGTTAATTTTCATATTTGTTTTTTTTTTGTCTGCAGTATGATCTCTCTTAATTAACCTCAAATTTGCTCATTGGAATATTTTTAGTAATTTTATCTTTACCAGGAAATTAGTAAAAATAAACTAATCTATCATGAAAAATTTCAATTTTACAGTATTTGATTTTTGATGTTGAATTATTATGGTTATTAAATATGATTGTAGTATGTAAAGTAAAACAAGAACCTTTAGAGGAGACAGAAAAAGATGGTCAGCAGGAGCCAGAAAAAGATGGACAGCAGGAGCCAGAACCATTGAATAATACAGTATCGACAGGTACCAGTAAAAATATATTGTCATTTGCAAATCATGATGTGTTTGACATGAACAGCTACATATTGATAGGATATAATGTAAACCAACATATTTTTGGGTAACCTTTTTTCACAGATTTAACCATTTCTAACTGACTTTGCAGCAAATTATTTTTACAAGTTTAAAAAAAAAATTGTTGATGTTTATGTATATGAAAGAGGAGATCCAAGTTTGACTTTATGTAAAAAGTTGATATTCTAATATTTTTTCAGTACAGTATATGGCTGTTAATCTATAAAACATATCACCATAGATTGCACCTATTTCATGAGAATGTACCTCAAATAGTGCACAAAATCAGATTTATCATGCTTTGATTTTTATGTCATAGGGGTTTGACAAATGAAAAGAAGAATGTTTGCCTTTTTAGCTCACCTGGCCCACCGTCATCGTCTGTTAACTTTAACAAAAATCTTCTCCAAAAATACTGGGCTAAATTTAACCAAACTTGGCCACAATCATCATTGGGGTATCGAGTTTAAAAAATGTGTCTGATGACTCCTCCTGCCAACCAAGATGGCCGATATGGCTAAATATAGAACACAGGGGTAAAATTCAAGTTTTGTTTATTATTTTGAAAACCCTTATAAATAAAGAAAATCTGACTGGGCCAAAATGTTCAGAATGTTAAGTTCTACCAATTGTCCATATACGTCAAAACTGTCAGACAACTTCTTATAGGAGTTATTGCCCTAAAATTACTTATTTTACCATTTTTTATTCATTTTTATACGACCGCAAAAAAATTTTTGTGGTCGTATAATGGTATGACGTTGGCGTCGTCGTCCGAAGACGCATTAGTTTTCGCACTCTAACTTTAGTTTAAGTGAATGGATCTCTGTGAAATTTTACCATAAGGTTCAATACCACAAAAGGAAGGAGGGGATTGATTTTGGGGGTTATGGTATCAACAGTTAAGGAATTAGGGGCCAAAAAGGGGCCAAAAATAAGCATTTTCTAGTTTCCAGACAATAACTGTGGAACGGTGTATGGATCTCTCTGAAATTATACTACAAGTTTCCATACCACAAAGGGATGGTTAGGATTTGCTTTGGGGGGTTATGGCTCAAACTGTTTAAGAATTAGGGGCAAAAAAGGGGGAAAAAAAAGGTTGTCCTGGTTAATGGACAAATACTTTAGTAAAAAACATAATTTAAAGCAGTGTAAGGGAGATAAATCAAATACATCATTGAAATTATCTCCCTTACACTGCTTTTAAATTATGCATAAAGTAATGGTTAATGAACAATTAAGATAATTTAAAACAGTGTAAGGGAGGTAATCCAAATACAACGTTTTGGTTACTTCCCTTACACTGCTTTTAAATTATGTTTAAAGAAATGCATATTTATAAAGGAAGACCAGTAAAAATATCTGCAAATGTTGCATCTTTTTTTTTTACAAAAAAATCCATATGAAAGATTTGACACTATATTTTAAATTCTATTATAAAATAGATTAAGTTAGCACTATGGTAAATTTAAATGGGTAATTATGGTTGCAAACTCCATTGGAAATTTGAATTGAGATTATGACCATATCTTGAGGAAAGAATTTTTTTGGGGAAAAAAAGGGGGGGTAAAAAGAAATTGTTGGGGGTCAATTTTTTTCTCATTTCAGATTTCAGAAATTAAAAAGAATTATTCTTCAAATATTATTTTTTTTTCAAATTTCAAATATTGAAAAATTTCAAGAAGTAATCTTTAATTGCACAGTATGGTGCATTAGAAAAATCTTTGACCACATTTATTTATTTGTTATGCCAAATCTAACCGTGTATTTAGATTTTTAATTTTGGGTCCAGTTTTCAAATTGGTCTACATTAAGGTCCAAAGGGTCCAAAATTAAACTTTGTTTGATTTTAACAAAAATTGAATATATGGGGTTCTTTGATATGCTGAATTTAAACATGTATTTAGATTTTTGATTTTTGGCCCAGTTTTCAAGTTGGTCCAAATTGGGGTCCAAAATTAAACTTTGTTTGATTTCAACAAAAATTGAATATATGGGGTTCTTTGATATGCTGGATCTAACCATGTATTTAGATTTTTTATTTGTGGACCCCACTATCAAATGGTTCATATTGAGGTCAAAAGGGTCCAAAATTAAACTTTGTTTGATTTCATCAAAAATTGAATTATTGGGGTTCTTTGATATGCCAAATCTAACCGTGTATTTAGATTTTTAATTTTGGGTCCCGTTTTTTAAATTGGTCTACATTAAGGTCCAAAGGGTACAAAATTAAACTTAGTTTGATTTTAACAAAAATTGAATGTTTGGGGTTCTTTGATATGCTGAATCTAAACATGTTTTTAGATTTTTGATTATGGGCCCAGTTTTCAAGTTTGTCCAAGTTGGGGTCCAAAATTAAACTTTGTTTGATTTCAACAAAAATTGAATATATGGGGTTCTTTGATATGCTGAATCTAAACGTGTATTTAGATTTTAGATTTTTGGCCCAGTTTTCAAGTTGGTCCAAATTGGGGTCCAAAATTAAACTTTGTTTGATTTCAACAAAAATTGAATATATGGGGTTTTTTGATATGCTGAATCTAACCATGTATTTAGATTTTTTATTTGTGGGCCCGCTATCAAATTGGTTCATATTGAGGTCAAAAGGGTCCAAAATTAAACTTTGTTTGATTTCATCAAAAATTGAATTATTGGGGTTCTTTGATATGCCAAATCTAACCGTGTTTTTAGATTTTTAATTTTGGGTCCTGTTTTTTAAATTGGTCTACATTAAGGTCACTACACATTGGTTTTCGCACTCTAACTTTAGTTTAAGTGAATGGATCTTTTTGAAATTTTACCATAAGGTTAAATACCACAAAAGAAAGGTTGGGATTGATTTTGGGGGTTATGGTACCAACAGTTAAGGGATTAGGGGCCAAAAAGGGGCCAAAAATAAGCATTTTCTAGTTTCCAGATAATAACTGTGGAACAGTGTATGGATCTCTCTGAAATTATACTACAAGTTTCCATACCACAAAGGGATGGTTAGGATTTGCTTTGGGGGGTTATGGCTCAAACCGTTTAGGAATTAGGGGCAAAAAAGGGGGAAAAACAAGGTTGTCCTGGTTAATGGACAAATACTTTAGTACAAAACATAATTTAAAGCAGTGTAAGGGAGATAAATCAAATACATCATTGAAATTATCTCCCTTACACTGCTTTTAAATTATGTATAAAGTAATGGTTAATGAACAATAAAGATAATTTAAAACAGTGTAAGGGAGGTAATCCAAATACAACGTTTTGGTTACTTCCCTTACACTGCTTTTAAATTATGTTTAAAGAAATGCATATTTATAAAGGAAGACCAGTAAAAATATCTGCAAATGTTGCATCATTTTATTTTACAAAAAAATCCATATGAAAGATTTGACACTATATTTTTAATTCTATTATAAAATAGATTAAGTTAACACTATGGTAAAATTAAATGGGTAATTATGGTTGCCAACTCCATTGGAAATTTGAATTGAGATTATGACCATATCTTGAGGGAAAGAATTTTTTTGGGGAAAAAAGGGGGGGGGGATAAAAAGAAATTGTGGGGGGTCAATTTTTTCTCATTTCAGATTTCAGAAATTAAAAGAATTATTCTTCATAAAATTATTTTTTTTTTAAATTTCAAATATTGAAAAATTTCAAGAAGTAATCTTTAATTGCACAGTATGGCGCATTAGATTTGTAAAATCTTTGATCACATTTATTTATTTGTTATGCCGAATCTAACAGTGTATTTAGATTTTTAATTTTGGGTCCAGTTTTCAAAATAGTCTACATTAAGGTCCAAAGGGTCCAAAATTAAGCTTTGTTTGATTTTAGCAAAAATTGAATATATGAGGTTCTTTGATATGCTGAATCTAAACATGTATTTAGATTTTTGATTTTTGGCCCAGTTTTCAAGTTGGTCCAAATTGGGGTCCAAAATTAAACTTTGTTTGATTTCAACAAAAATTGAATATATGGGGTTCTTTGATATGCTGAATCTAACCATGTATTTAGATTTTTTATTTGTGGACCCCGTTATCAAATTGGTTCATATTGAGGTCAAAAGGGTCCAAAATTAAACTTTGTTTGATTTCATCTAAAATTGAATTATTGGGGCTCTTTGATATTCCAAATCTAACCGTGTATTTAGATTTTTAATTTTGGTTCCTGTTTTTATACGACCGCAAAAATTAAAAATTTTTTGGTCGTATATTGGTATGACGTTGGCGTCGTCGTCGTCGTCGTCGTCGTCGTCGTCGTCTGGCGTCGTCCGGCGTCGTCCGAAGACACATTGGTTTTCGCACTCTAACTTTAGTTTAAGTGAATGGATCTCCATGAAATTTTACCATAAGGTTCAATACCACGAAAGGAAGGTTGGGATTGATTTTGGGGGTTATGGTACCAACAGTTAATGAATTAGGGGCCAAAAATAAGCATTTTTGTAACTTCCAGACAATAACTTGTGTGTAAGTGTATGGATCTCTCTGACATTGTACCACAAGGTTCCATATCACAAAGGGAAGGCTGTAATTGATTTTGGGGGTAATTGCCTCAAAATTTTAGGAATTAGGGGCCAAAAAAGGGGCAAAAAACAAGCATTTTTCTAGTTTCATTACAATAACTTGTGTGTAAGTGTTTGGATATTTCTGAAATTGTACTACAAGGTTCCATATCACAAAGGGAAAGCTGGAATTGAGTTTGGGGGTAATTGCCCGAAACGTTTAGGAATTGGGGGCCAAAAAGGGGCCAAAAATAAGCATTTTTCTAGTTTCCAGACAATAACTTGTGTTCAAGTGTATGGATCTCTCTGAAACTGTACTGCAAGGTACCATACCACAAAGGGAAGGCTGGGATTGAGTTTGGGGGTGATGAATCATAATGGGGTTCAAAAAATTTGGGGGGGGGGGGGGTTTCTTTTTTTCCTTTTTTTTTTTCTTTTAAAATTTTCCATTTTAAGTTGG